AACGTGTCGGCCTTGGACGGTAGCCGATAACCGGACGAGTCGTGGATGAGCTGCAACATCGTCACGAGGCAACGAGGAGGCAGCGGATTGGACACGCGTACGTTTCGCACACACGGATTATCCTCACACGTGTTCGCACGTGTCGCGGGCAGAAAACGGAAAGAGTGTGCGAGGGAGAGAGAGAGAGAGAGAATTGGGTGCGCGATCGAGCAGACTGGTTTGCCCAGTAACCTCTCGGGCCGGGCAAAAGAGGACCTGAAGAGAGGATGCACGAGAGCTCGAAACGAGCGCGGCGAACCGCATTCCTCGCGACGTTTCAACCTACTCCTTTGCTCGGCTTTCCTCATCCTCTCCTCGGCCTCGTTGAAAGCGACAGTCCGGGATGACGCTTGTCGAGGAAGCTCGTCGAGAGACGAGGGACTGGTTTATACCGGTGCGAGTTTCTTTTTAATCAGGTAAGAATTTTTCAAGTTCTAATGAGTTGGAATGGAATTCCAGGTTTCTTCTTCTTTCGTTTCTTATGATAAAGTAAACTGATAAAAAAAAAAAAAAAAGAAAAGGATTCCTATTCTTTTCGAAAAGAGATATAATTTCGAGACCGATTTACGTGGAAACCACTAATGTGTATGTTTATATCTGATATATAATTCTCATTTATAATAATTATCGTGTATTAACAGTGACGAATTAAATCTTCTTTCTTTTTTTTTAAGTCAGAGAAATCAATTTTTTCATTTTCTTGAAAAGAAAAATATTAAAAAACTTTTATTTTTTTTACTTCTTCAATAAATTTAACCCTTTGCTCTCCAACGGTGACTCTCGGTCTTGAGTTAATGCCGTTAACTCCAGCGCCACTCTCCGGCACCACTGAGATTGTTGCGGCAACTTGAATGCCGACAATATTTATTTATGTTTGATTTTTTTAGAATATCTTCATAAATAGATTCCTAAGCTCTTTACGTATGATCTTATAAGGTGTAATCTTATCTTATGAGTAATTATCTTATGGTAATCTTATGAGACTATCGAACGCATCGAACGCGCGAGTTTGAGTCTGGAGTTGCTTCGATCGAGCGAAATAGGCCTGGAGTGCAAAGGGTTAAATTTTTTTTTTAACAAATTATTGTATAATGTAATATTGTAAAACAAAATATTGTATATCTATAATCATATTGCAAAAGAATCATTTATATATCATATATGGATATTTTGATAAAAAATATTGGAAATTGGACAAAAATTATTCGATCGAAGATTAAAGTTAAATTATATATTTATTATATTATATTATATATATTTTTAAAATAGAATTTTAAAATATATATAATTCGTCCCACAAATTTTTCAGGAATACAGGATAGTAAACAAGCATATTCCGTTGGAGGGTGAAGACAAATGGAAGTAATGAACCGCGATGGTCTAGGTCAAGGTCCTTGGCCTCCGTTTAGCATTGGCATACACGAAATACTCCAAGGAGCCACACACCGATAGGGAACTGTTTATTCCCTCAAGCGTGCTACGCGTTACACGATACACTGTGCCAGATTACGAGAGAGGAGTGGTTAAGTGGGAAGGGGATGCCGTCCTCGGGGACCAAGACGGTTGTAATCTCATCGGAGAATTTTCGACTCCATTTCAAATCGTCTCGGAGAATCGGCGATTCCCGACTCTCCAACACGCGAACTAGAAATCTCTTTTAATCATTTCGATAAGATTTGGAAGATTTTTTATTATTATTACGTAATGTAGTAAAAATTGAAAAAGTCTTTCTATTTATTTTAACGAGTTTAATGTTTTTGAATTTTTATCAAATCAAAAATTTTTTCCAATTCTCATAATTATTTATCGTTCACAAGAAGAGTAATTTTGTGCAAAGTAGAATTTAATTTTTCTACGTGTTAATTTTGATATTTTGAGTATATGTATATCAATTTTTTTTTTATATTTTATGCCGAAAATGTCTTGTGAATCTTCAAAACTTAAAATTTTCTCTTCAAATTTTTGTGAAAATATAATTTTAGAATCTAAAGTTTAAAATGTTAAATATAATACGATTGCATTGTAAAATAAAATATTATTATAATTACATTTTTATATTGCAAAATAGTAGAAAACATCTTTTTATTTTTATTACATTTACATAATAAATTTTTTATATACATACTTTCAAACTTTAGACCTATTAAAAATTATATTTTTAAGTCTAAAAAATTACGGAGAAAATAATAAATAAATTTTAATAAATTCACGTAGAAGAATATGTGAAATATTACATACACCCTTTTTATATGCCCCATTGTAAATCATTAAAAAAAAAAAAAAAAAAAAAAAAAAAAAAAATAAAATTTCTTTCGTAATATACATTGAGCATATTTTATACTCGTTGCATAATATCAAAAGGATTAAAAAAAATTCTAACGAATACAATCATTCACGAGTCAGTGCAATTTAATTTCAATACTTTTAATTAATTCCGGCATGACCGGTTATCGATGACCTCCATGCCAACGCGTAAATACCTCACGTACGGTTAAATTAACATTTCTTTCCATCGTTTGCTCATGCACAACTTGTTTCATCACTTGTACCATCATGATTTATTCACGAAAAACACCGTACTTTTTTTTTTCCATTCTTTTTTTTTTTTTTTTTTTTTTTTTCTTTTCCTCCTCCTCCTTCTCCGAGTTTTATGTCCTTTTCCACAAATAAGTTTCTCCGCCGTAAAGTTTACATTTTAACGCGATAATACCACGTCATAAATACGGTGGAAAGATTCGAGGAACGCGGGTTTTGACGCGCGGGATACGAAAGAGACATCATTGTCGGGGGAATGTCGTAAATGTCGTAAAAGGAGGAAGTTCGGTCTGTACTTACTATAGAAACGACAGGAGGCGGAGGATTTCCGTTCCTAAGTGCCCCGGTTTGCTGGTTCGCCGCCGGATTCAAATTGTCCTTGGATTGCTGCATGGGATCCGGCTGATGAAGCGTTTGTTGCGATTGCTGTTGCGGTTGTTGCTGATGCTGTTGGAGCCCGCCTATTCCAGTCTGTGGGCTGCCTAAGCCTGCTGGCGCGCTATCCGGCGTACTTACTTGTCGGGCGATCTTTCGATAACTCTGAAATGCAAAGGAAGAAAAGAAATGATCCTCGGTCGACGTGTGAGAGAGAAAGAGAGAGAGAGAGAGCAATGGTTCCTTCGAGGATGAAGAAAAGAATTTTTCTAGAAATCGTTTTCTCTTATGGAGGAGAAGTTCAATGTTGATTTTTAAAAAGTTGTACGAGGGCCAATTTTATTTTTCTTTTTTTTTTAAATTACACATTTTTAAACATTCGATAATCTCTATCAATAATTACAAAAGTATATTTCGATTTGAATATTGTAAAATTTGTAAATCGTACAAGGAAACGATAAATTTTTATAGAATTTATAGAATAATTTTTTTATAGAGAGTATCGAGTATTGAAAAAATATTATTTTTCATTTTATATCCATTCACGAAAAAATAACACCATAATGTATAATATTTTCTTCGATATCACCTTCGACTTTCACTTGAAATATTTTTTGAATAACAACACTGAGATTAAAATTAAAATCGAGTAAGACATTTTGCATACAGAATAGAATTGGATAGAAAATGATTCTAAAATTGTGCAAATTGAAAGAAAAGAATAAAATTTAAATGTATTTGAAAATTTGTGCCAAGTGTTTGAACAAATGGATACGAGCGAATTATAAAAAGTTAATTTAATATATTGTTCTACAAGCACGTGGAATAAAATATGAAAAGGGGAAAATTTTCTCGAAAACTATTTTTTCGAATGAAAACATTTCAATCCATTCATTTCTCGTTCATTTTCACACCCTCTTAACCTGATAATTAATTGACCACTTCCGCTTCTTAAAAATGTGTTTCCAAACTAATTTACACCAAAAACCTTAGCCTTAAACGAAAAAAAAAAAAAAAATTCTTCCTCCTCTTTTTTGCATACAGAATTTTCTCCTACACGCGTATAATGAAATATACACAAAGTGAAAGCTATGAATCACAACTCCGCTCGAAGACGATGTAAACCGGCTTTCCGTAACGATTACCATTCTTCCTAATTAGTCAGCCAAACAATAAAATAAAAGAAATACGATCGTTACTAAACCAAGAACATTCCACGAACACCATTGTACATTCCAAAGCGCGATTAGCGTGCGTGTACTCGGTTACGTCACGTTCAACCACGAGACGGCGCTAATAATCTTCATCGCAAAGTATTGAGAACCCTCCTTCTCCCTCCCCCCAAAAAAATAAAAAAAATCGCAAAAAAGGAGAGGGTAAGATCGACGCGAAACGCGACAGAAACGCGGAATGGCGTCTCATGCCCAATTATCCAATAACTTTCATCCTCGAATAGTCGAGTGGTAGTCGAGGTTGAACGACACCGTCCCTGCTCGCTCCTCTCGTCAAAGCGTGTTTTTCTCTCTTGCCTGTGCACCTCTGCCCCACGTTGGATCACCCACGCACGAGCGACGCGTCGCACCGCACATCACGATAAACAGGCACCGCTTTTGAAACGTGGAGGAAGGAAGGAAGGCAGGATGGTGGTAGGTACGGTGGCCGAGCGTACGCCGGTGTGACCCTAATGCTAAAAATATCAAGGTGGCCTAAGTAGGCCGAGCCGGCTGAAACGGTTTCCATAGTTCAACAAGCGCCGTTGCCCGACAGCTATAACCGGCCACCCCTCTCGCCCCCACCAACCCCCTTCTTCGCGATGCAAACTTGATCAATTATTACGACGCCCCTCGAGCTATCACCATCCCTCGTGGTTACCGTTCTAAGGCCGCGGATGGTTGGAGCCTTCATCGATGGAATCGTGAATGATTTTAAAGGAATAATTTGCACCTTTTCGAAATTTCATCTCGTCGCTTTGTTTTAAGCATTTTTTAATTGTGGAATTTAAAAATAACAGTTGAAATATTATTCTTCAAAATGAAGGGAGCCTTCATCGATGGAATCGTGAATGATTTTAAAGGAATAATTTGCACCTTTTCGAAATTTCATCTCGTTGCTTTGTTCTAAGCGATTTTTGTTAGTCGTGGGATTTAAAAATAATAATTGAATGGAGCTTTCATCGATAGAATCACGATAATTTTAAATGGAATAATTTGCACCTTTTCGAAATTTCACCTCGTTGCTTTGTTCTAAACAATTTTTGTTAATTATGGAATTTAAAAATAACAGTTGAAATATTATTCTTCAAGATGGAGGGAGCTTTCATCGATGAAATCGTGAATGATTTTAAAGGAATAATTTTTGTTAATCGTGAGATTTAAAAGTAATAATTGAATGGAGCTTTCATCGATAGAATCGCGATGATTTTTTAAATGGAATAGTTTGCACCTTTTCGAAATTTTATCTCATTGCTTTGTTCTAAGCAATTTTTGTTAATTGTGGAATTTAAAAATAACAGTTGAAATATTATTCTTTAAGATGGAGGGAGCCTTCATCGATGGAATCGTGAATGATTTTAAAGGAATAATTTGCATCTTTTTGAAATTTCATCTCGTTGCTTTGTTCTAAGCAATTTTTGTTAATTGTGGGATTTAAAAATAATAGTTGAAATATTATTCTTCAAGATGGAGGGAGCCTTCATCGATGGAATCGCGATGATTTTAGAGAAATGCTTGCATCTTTTCGAAATTTAATCTCATTGCTTTGTTCTAAGCAATTTTTGTTAGTCGTGGGATTTAAAAATAATAATTGAATGAAGTTTTCATCAAAAGAATCGCGATGATTTTAAAGGAATAGTTTGCATTTTTTCAAAATTTTATCTCGTTGCTTTGTTCTAAGCAATTTTTGTTAATTGTGGGATTTAAAAAATGGAATCATGATGATTTTAAAAGAATGTTTGCACCTGTTGGAAATTTAATCTTGTTACTTTGTATTAATTTTTTAATTAATTGCTGTGTTACTATTGAATATTGTTGTGGGATTTAAAAATAACAGTTGAATGGAGCTTTCATCGATAGAATCGCGATGATTTTAAAGGAATAGTTTTATTCTAACTTGCTTTGTTCTAACTAATTGTTGTTAATCGTGGGATTTTAAGAAATAACAATTGCAAGGAATATTATTCTTCAAGAGACGCGATCATCAATCGAATCGTTCTTTTGATAATGGAAATTTGATCTTGTTACTTTCTTCGACTAATTTTGTGATTGTATATTTCTATATTCGAATAATTGTTATGGAATGTGTAAAAATTGAAAGGAATTCCTTATAGGTGTTCAATGAATGCGGAATGATGGAGGGAATACATCGAAGTACATGGGATATCGTCTTTCCACGATAGAAATTTATCTTTAGACTAATTTTTTATAATTAATCGTGTGTTTCCATCGAATATATTAAAATGGAATTTATAAAAGTTGGAAGGAATTTCTTGTAGGTGTTCCAAGGAATATGGATGGATGGAGCTTATCGATGAATAATGGTGATATTAAACGAACGTGGGATGTTTGCGGTCTTTCGATGATAGAAATTTATCTTGCTACTTTAAGTAATTTTTTTTAATTAATCGTGTAATTTCTATTGAATATTATTCCGGAATTCGTAAAAATTGAAAGGAATATTAATCTTCTGTCAGAGAAATGTGAGGATGTTTGATAATGGAAATTTAATTTTAGCAATCTTGTAATTATATATTTTTATTTGCTATAAAATTTATAAAAATTAAATATCCTTCGTAGACATACATTTAAACGTTTTAACATGGATAGGTAAAACTCATCGATGAAATCACGATTAGATTTGATGGAATTTATACTGTTTTGATAATACTAATTTAATTTGCTATTTTTGTTTTATATTCGTGTATTTTTATTTTACGATAGATAGAAATTTAAATCTTGCTTCCTTTAAATAATTTTTTGCAAAATAACTGTTGAAAAATCGATTATCAGTTTATATTTTGGGTTTGTATATTGCATTTTATTTTATTATATTGAACAGGATTGAAATTTAAAATCGTAATACCTTTTCAAATTCCGCCAAATAGGCTGACAAATATTAAAATCAGAATTAAAATGATTAAGGCAAAATTAAATTTCAAATTTCATGTATATTTATAATAATAAAATTATTATTAAACACTTTATTACAAAACACTTTCGAAGGATCGATTCTATTATCCAAAAAAAAAAAAAAAAAAAAAAAAAAAAAAATTTTTTTTTTTTTTTGGATAAAAAAACCCATCCTTCCAAAGGTTTTTTTAAAAAAGGGTTTAAAAAAAATTTTTTTTTTTTTTTGGATAAAAAAACCCATCCTTCCAAAGGTTTTTTTAAAAAAGGGTTTAAAAAAAATTTTTTTTTTAAAAAAAAAATTTTTTATAAAACCTTTTTTTAAAAAACCCTTCGAAAGGAGGGTTTTTTTTTCCAAAAAAAAAAAAAAAAAAAAAGAAAAGAAAAATTGATGTAAAAAAAGTATTAAACCATAAGCAATGTAATATTACGTTAAATGAAGCGGGACGAGAGTTAGGAGCGAGACAACTCTATCTCACGATTATATAAACACCCGGCAATATTAACTTTACAATAATAAAATAAGATTTATATTTACATTATCGATTACAGATACATGCAAACATGCATAGCAAAACTAGTAAAGACCAGAAGATCGCGCGTACATAAATAACCCTGAACGATCAATTGATTTCACGGCAACTAACTGAAGCCAAACTAACAGTTTCAAGGTCTATTTACAAGAGTGTCATCAATACGCGAACCGATCATTCGAACAACACGAAATAACTTTGCTCTTCATTATCAGCAAATTTAATAAACACCTCCTTCACTACTATCCATTCATAATTTCAACGACGATCAAATAAAGAATAATTCTATTAATTAACACTCCAATTACAATCGTACGTAAACACAAACGAAACAACTTGGGTTTAATTAATTAACAACTTGTAGACAATTTCCTTGCTCCGTTATCTTCACCAACGACGACAACAACCAAAAAGAGGATAATTCCCAAGAAGTATCAAGAATCGAAAAGTTGAACACGGGAAGAGTTTTCGTAATCCGATCGTCGATGGTACAGAATATTACTGATTGTAT